TGGAGCTTAGAAAGCTCGCTCTGGGAGCTGCGGCGTAGAAGCTGCACCTCGCGATCCTTGTCAGCAATGAGCTGCTCAGTCTGAGCATGGAGAGAGTGTTGGAATTCTCGCCAGCGGCGAATGAACCCAATGTGGGTGTTGCTGGGCAAAAGAGCGATGGTGCGATGTCAGCAGAGAGTCCGCAATTACACAAGAAGCGCTGAGGTGGCTCATGACCTTAGCGATCTACTCACACCATGAGAACCGCAGGAATGCCAACAACGGCGGCAAAGAAAAGACCCATTTTGGCGATACGATGAGTAGTTAAACTGGGATAAAAATGATCAAGGGTCGGCAAATTAGCTGCTGAGAGGGCCAAGTCAACCAAAAAGTGTGCTCACAAGGTTAGGAGGAGAAAGAAGATTGAAACGGAATGGGCGAATGGAATCGCGCAGGTAAGGGGCAAGGGAATGTGCGTCTCGCGGAGGCGATAGGAAGGTGGGGTGGGGGTTGGAGACTAGTGCGTGGGTAGGCTTTGGCAAACAGAGAACGAAAACAAGCGTAGTGAACAAAGAGCGTGTGGCTGAGAGAGCGTTGGAAAGAGTGTGTTTGCAAAAAAGAGCGTGCTGAGAGAGTGTGTCTATCAAGCGAGTGTGCTTAAAGAGTGTAGTGTTCGAGCTCAATGCCAAAGGAGAGGGTGTGTTGTGGTTGGGTCATGGAGGGGGTTGCGAGCCCCAGCCATCTTTAAGTGACACAGGGAGGGGGGCTTTTCCAACAAATCAGACTTTGCTCGAGCTCGACTTGACCCCTTTGCTCACCCAAACACGCAAGCCTCGGTGCGTGCATAACGGCTTTCCGGTCGATGCATTGGCTCGCATAAGCACTCACGCTTTTCCTCTGTGCGCTTTGCCCAGCGCTTGAGGACTCGCTGCAGCGCGCCCTGCCCAGCTCCATTGAAGAATTTGAATCGCTTGCGCTCATGTACCCCGTGATGCTTGAAGCCTCAACAGCTTCAGCACCCACGCACAATCGTTGACAGTCTCGATCGCTTCAGACCTGCCCGTCATCGTGCGGTCTGGCTGGCGCCGGTGGGTCCGGTTTGCATACAGCGTCTTGACGCACCGCGATCGTGGAGAACAGGCTTCTAGGCAGTACATGAGTATCGTACCTCATGGCCTTTCACTAGAATGCTCTAGAGACTTGCGCAAGATCATGGCAATTGTGTCGCGAGGCCGTGGCCAGCGAGTCTGATAGTGAGAGTTGAGCGAGTCGGGTAATTCGTAGTGAGGCACGAATGTGCGTGTTCTGACGGCCATCTCTTCATCATGGCCCATTCGTGAATGCGCCATGATTTAGTGCTGGGCTCCGTGTCTGTGTGATTGATCCGCACTCTGCTATCAATGATATGAAGTGTCTCCCATCAAACTGCCCTCGTAGAGCTTCCCGACCGTACGCCTTTTCTGTAGTCGTAGCACGTGTGACCTGATTTGCACAGCGGTCACGATTCCATTCTTGCGCAAGCATTCAATTTATCGGACATCACAATCGTTCAATCTATCGGACATCACTTTCAGGTGGCGGACAGTACAAAGGCTTCACACAAACAGTCGCGGGCAAAAGAACATCACATGCGACAGTCATAAGCTTGCTCAAATCGGACACACGAGCGGTACGCATTCTTGAGTGATCAACTTCATTCTTCCTCCATCGGACAGGGCGCCTGCTACTATCATAAAGTCCACCTGCAGCGTCCCTGACTCTTCACTTCCAAGTGACGATCCTACCAGTCGCTCCGGAAGCCAAAGTCTTGCAATCTCGTATCGTGTTAGGGGCTGCACCTGTCGCAAAGCTTGCATAGTCGTCAGAGCGTCCGCATGGCCGGAAGAGCTTGCCCACATCCTGCAATGTTGCTGAATCTGTTCGCTTGCCATAGTGTGACTTAGTGTGTCGCCATACGCTTGTGTGCGAGCACATTCGTGCACCCTCGACAGCGTAAGCTATCGTGGCAATCTATGACCGAGCAGAATGGCGCGAAGGTAGCGCAGACGAGGATTGCGAATGAAGTTGCACCTAAGGTAGTCAAAGGCACCGGACTATCGTTAGCTTAGGCCCTGGTGCTACCTTTCGCCAAATGCTCTGAGTCTCTTCGGGGCACTCACATGAAAAGGAGAGCCATCTTTCACTTGTCTGTCAGTTGTCCGAGACGAGAAGTCGATGGCAGCAGTGTGCGCGGCGGGAGAAGTGGGCTGGTATGTCGGCGCTCGGTGTCAGAGGCCCGAAATGTTAGGCACCGATGAGGAGACGTCGAAAAATTGGAACATTGCGAATTTTGGACGTGAAGCGGCACTGTGCCAGCAAAGACCACGATGTTGAGGCGACTTGCTGTATAACCTGTGTGCTACGTGTCTTCGAGACGCTGGTCGAATTAACGAGCACGCCAATCGATTGTCTAAAGGGAGACTCGGCAAAAGGCAAGGTGGGATCAGCTCTTTCGTGAACGGAATCATCGTGCGCTAGGCGTAGCTACATAGCTTCAGTCGATGGCAGTTCATGATCAGCACTCGGCGCTTCAAAGCGCGACGTACAATACCTGCCTACCTCTTGAAGAGCAGCCGCAACGCTTGCCGTGGGATGGATACTTCGTTCTTGTCCCAGAACCATATCAGACGGAACGAGGAAGTCGAAGGACATACAATTGGTTGCTCGGTCTGTAGGCTTAAGAAAGTAACATGTTTGTTGGAAGCGACGGCTTTGCCCGCTTCAAGGCTCCGAAAGCGCTCGGGTCAAACCTGCTTGGGTCAAAGCTGCTTGGGTCAAACGTGCTTGGACAGGGCTTCCGCTGAAGAGATCCCAAATCAGCTCAAGATTAATGCAAATCTCATAACTCTTTCTGCTTGTTCTGCATAAGCGTTGACTCACCTAGAGGCTGTAGATCCTTCCGTGTCTCTCAAGCTGCGGGTCTGGCGCTCCAAGTCAAGCACTCCGTTGTTCAGTTTGTAGCATTTTTGGTTAAGTGAATCGACAAGGTTCCAAGTGCAAGCCATCTCCTGTCGGTTGTCAGCCATCTCCTGTCGGTTGTCCTCCATGGCAATTTGCAAGCCTACTGTACGTCCCAGCGTGGGCACGAGGCGGTCCATCTGACCTTCGATGCGCTGGGTCAAAGCTGCTTGGGTCAAACGTGCTTGGGCAGGGCTTCCAATGAAGAGATCCCAAGTCAGCTCAAGATTAATGCAAAGCTCACAACCCTTTCTGCTTGTTTTGCATGAGCATTGACTCACCTAGAGGCTGTAGATCCTTCTGTGTCTCTCAAGCTGCGGATCTGGTGCTCCAAGACAGCCACTCTGTCGGTCTGTTCGTAGCATTGTACGTGCTTGGCTAGAGCCTGCTTCAGTAGAACGTGCTTGGCGAGAACCTGCTTCAGTAGCACGTGCTTGGGCAGGGCTTCCAATGAAGAGATCCTGAGTCAGCTCGAGATTAATGCAAATCTCACAACCCTTTCTGCTTGTTTTGCATGAGCGTTGACTCACCTAGAGGCTGTAGATCCTTCTGTGTCTCTCAAGCTGCGGAGCTGGCACTCCAAGATAGCCACTCTGTTGGTCTGTTTGTAGCATTGTTGCTGAAGTGAGTCGATGAGGCCGACAAAGCGAGCCATCTGCTGACGGTTGTTCTCCACCCGTGACCACTTAGCCCTGATCTCTTCTTCCCTCCACGCGCGTTTCCCCCTTCAATGTCGCGCTCTCCCCGTTGCCCGATTCCAATCTCTTGCCGTCCCCAAGAACGCGCCTCTGTGCGAGTAGTCTACGCTCTGATTGCAATCTGAACATGTGGAGCCCGCGTCTATTCGTGAATCTCTAAGCGTCTGGTTGCCCCCCACAGAACGGTCATCAGTGCATCACAACGCTTGTCATTGTCGACATCAGCAACACACCGATTCAGACATCGTGCACCGCGTTTGGGCCACCTTCCAGCATGTGCCATGTAATTACTGTCGATAGTCATGCAATTTGAGTACATGCCACGACAGGGCCTCGAGCATGGATCATCTTACCGGTCCAAGTTAGATGGCGCATAGTTCAATGAAGGTCGTACATTTCGTCCATCCGTAATGACTGTCATAAGCGAGCATTGAAAACAATAGGCATCTGTGCTTTAGCGTGTGTGTGCGGATCGAAACGCGGCGATTGGTGCGCTGTGATGGTGCTGCAGGCGTGTCAGCAGGATGGTTGGAGAGTTGTCAGTCACTGAGTGCTGAACGCGAGTCCGCCCGCGCTGGGTCGGCAGACGCGGAGACGCTCTAGCACTGAGCCCCTCTGTGACGGACTCTCTGCATGACGAGGTCTCAAACGGCTTCCATTTGTCATTTACACTTGAAGTAATGAGGTGCGACCCTGTGCTTTTTGTCACCCAGCAAGGATGGCTTGCGTCGTGAGGGGCCATGACTGCTGACAAAGCCGTGTCTTTTCTAGTCCCAAGAGATACCTGTAATTGTTACCTCAGACCCGGCGGGGCCAACAATAAAGAGCGGCGGACCTCGCGGAAAGGCTTCCTGCAAAGTCTCAACACTGCTCTCCATAGAGGCTCTATGCACGCTTGAGACGTTATCATTGTGCCAGACGAGCTTATACACAAAGGCTTGAATGATTTGGGATCAAATCTTCTGGGCCATTAGACCGGTGGATCAGTGCGAACAAAGTGGTGTCAGGATAGCTTAGAACACCACTGAAGGAGGACAAAAGGGGAGAGGAGGGGAGGGGAGGAGGAGGTGGGAAAGCGAGGGATGAGGGGCTTGCAGGTGTCACAGGAGCTTGACCAGCATTGTTGGCGTCACAACTGATCACCCCTAGCGCCTTGTCGACAGAAGGTATGCTCCCCCAGAGCAATGCCAATGCCAATCAACAACTTCCAGTTGCTGCAAGAGTAGAGAAAGCGCATGAACCTCTGCGGTTGTCACTTCCAGCATTGACGTGCTTTTGGCCATAATTGGCTCCATGGAACATAGAAGCTCTTTAACACCAGCAATCTGAGTCCTGGCCAGTTGACCTTTCTCCTCATCCAAGAATCATGTTGCCAAATGCTGCTTTGCAGAGATCTGTTGTTCTGTCATCTGGATCTGAGCATTCAGGTTGGAAATGTCTGGATCCAAGGCATACACGCTCGAGGAGCGGATGAGAGCGGACCCTGGTGCTGCCGGATCGACTCACATCACCCGGTCTCTAACCACCATCTTCACCTTGTCGTCACGCAAGACAGTCAGAAGCCTCAACACCGCATACTTCACCCTGCACGTACACACACAAACCAGTACTTGCCACAATGGCTTTCCTTCTGATGATGATGTTCTGGGCCATTCTCTAGTGAGTATCATTCAGACTTGCAACGCTATTGCCGCCGCTCCCTTTGCAAGACCTTTCCCAATCACGTTGCTCATTCGTCTCCTACTCCAAATTTTTGCGTAGCATGCTTGCCTTCGCCCATCAAAAGATCACTGCTCTTGCCTTTGAGATTGTCCGTCTGCGTGATCAGGCTCAAGAGATCGCCAACAAATACCAGCGCCTGGGAGAGGCAGGGCAGCAGGCAGCATTGGAGAGGTTCTGGACCAGGCTCAAGAACATTGCAGGCAAGATGCACGGTGCACCAGAGGAACTGCTCTCGAACCTGAGGAACAATCCTCTCAACACCACAGCCACAGTCAGCTTGTTCTGCAAAGTTGAGCTTTGTTGCGTCCGAGAATACTTGGAGAACCTGGAGCAAACGCATCACTCAGCCTTTAAGATAACGCGCATGCTCAATCATGCCACTGAGGTGGAGACTCTCCTCGACAAGAATGATCAAGCTTGCGAGAGGCCTATTGAGTACCAGCAATGCGTAGCGAACGTACTGGAGCTTGTCGACAACGTCGCTCTGCAATTTGAGCACATCTGGAATGAATGGCTGGAAGATGCAACCGACAGGGAAGACAGCCATGACCACGCTGGCCCTGAGCTCTTCCGCCCCGGATTTAATAATCAGGAGTTCAGAACAGCGATGGCTGGCATTGTGGCTGGGCTTTGTCCCACGTTGTTCCAAAAGTCCAGATCGTGAAGATATTGTTTGGGGTGAGTGAAGCAAATTGTGGTGTCGAAGCTTGTACGCCATGGTACCACGTCTTGCGTCATCGCCCCATGGAACACGCTGACCCTGTCCGACGCTTCCTGTCACCGCTTCAGCTTCAAACTTCCTCTCCAGCGACTTTGCCCTCCTCAGCCCACCTAGGTTTCACGCTCAGCGTCTGGATTCACTCCTGAACGTTTCCTCATCGACCGACCCGAGCTCCTCTTCTCCGCTTCGTATCACCCTCTCCTTTGTCGACAGCGTCTGGATTCACTCCTGAACATTTCCTCATCAACCAACCCAAGCTCCTCTTCTCCGCTTCGTATCACCCTCTCCTTCGTCGACAGACTCAAGCTCCCCTTGTCCGTTTCCCACCACCCTTTCCTTTGTCGACAAAGTCGAGCTCTCCTTGTCCGCTTTGTATCACCCTCTCCTTCGTCGACAGACTCAAGCTTCCCTTGTCCGTTTCCCACCACTCTTTCCTTCGTCGACAAAGTCGAGCTCTCCTTGTCCGCTTCCAACTACCGTTTTTCAGCAATCTCAAGGCGCATTTCAGGTCTATCAGCCAGGCACGCAAGTTGTCGCCTCAATCAGCTCGAAGGACGTCGTGATGTGACAGCTTTGTTAGATTGTGCAAAGTTATGTGGTGCCGGGAAGGGCAGCAAAAGTTGGGGCAGATACATATGTAGCACAGCATCGGCAGTATGCGAGGCAATCGGTTCCTTAGACACAAGAGCGGACGATGTTGGATGGTCTCTATGCACTTAGCCATAGACCTCTTTCCATCCCCACTTGTGTTGCGCTACCACCTCAAATTTGTCGCTGCAGCAAGAGTCTTCCGTTCCCATTGACTATCCTTGGCTTGCTAGCTGGGCATCAAGGTGGGAGATCTGCACACATATGATTTTCAACCTCTTAAGGGCCACACTCTTTGTCATGAGCTGTAAATATCCATGTAACTGTTTCGCATTCCCCTCTCTTGATTCTCCCATTGCGAGTATCCCAAATACCTTCTGGACATTCCCAACCCTTCTTGCAGTGCTGATCCCGCATTGCATTTTCTGTATGATCTTCTAAACCCTCAGGTTGCAAGTGGAATGGGTTGTCCACAACATTTCTTTCACGTCTATATGCAAGCTGACAATCTGGAGATCGCAGCAGACATCCCTAAATTTACCCTTTCCCTTGTTGCAACATTGTTGAGAGCCAATGACATAGGCCAAGACAGCTGTACGCTTGATATGTGCACTGCAAAGCAATCGCTATAGCAATGGCAAAGTGTAGAGCTCACTGACAAGTATTGCCTATACCAATGTGTTGGATAACACAGTGCAATTCTCAGCCCAAATTCACATGATCTGCTTGTCAACAACGCTGCTTGGCAAGTAAAATGAGGCCCTGTTCCGTGATGAGATGCGATCGACAACACAAAACGAGAAGCATAGCATTTCCACAGAATTCTTGCGCTGTGAAGAAAGCATCGTTACCAAATTGGTCCTCTTGGCGATTCTATAATTTGGGATGAAAGCCGCTCCACAAGTAGATCCAATGCTCAATGGCATGCTAGCAGAGCACATTTGGTACGTACCGAGCCTGTTGTGTGGTGTGGTGTGGTGTGATGCACACCAGGGTACCATCCGCAAACATCTTCAAGTTGTATTCTTGATTGCACCGTTACACACTGCCCTGTCGACTGGAATGCATGCCAACAGTACTGCCGTTCCAAGTCAAACCTCGGGCACATGCTTTACATTCGCGAGTGCTCGGCGACCGCCTCTCCCAAATTCCAAGCCTCGAGCTCCAAGACTCAATTCTGGTCTCGATGCATAGCGCACACGAAAGTTCAGGCCCACCTGTCGTAGAGGTTCGCAATGCCCTGTGAGCCGTTTGATCAAGAGGGGATGCGAGTTGCTTGGTCAAAGTGGCAGTGACCGGAGACACATCCTGCACCGCTGTGTTCGTCTGTCTTCTCCGTGACCGTCCACACATCCAGCACGCAAGCGGTGCTTGAGTATGAGGTCCGCCCGATTTGTATAATGGTAGCTGCTCCTTCTTGTGTGAAGCCTCATTTTAAGCTCATCGCTCAATTCTGATTCGTCCTCTTAAGTAGGCTTTGTACACGGTGCAAGGTGATGGAAAATTGTCGACCGTGTAAGCTATGATCACAGCTCCGAAGGCGTGTAGGATCGAGTAAGCTCAAGAAGTGTGCTTATCTGCACTGACAGGTGACACAATCGCTCCCGTCAGCGTCTAAAGTGTGCCGGCTGTCTACCAAGAATGCCCGTGTATCAGGTTGGTACACCGGGAGCAGAGCTGGCTCCAAAGCTTGTGGAATCTTGGCCAGCTGCTGCCCTGACTGATCGGCACTTCCTCGCTCGAGCCGAAGCAGTCGTTTGCGGATCATGCTGCCGGCTAGTCTTGAAAGGCCTTTGGAAGAATGCAAGCGCGCAGACGTCCAATGCTATACCTACAGTCATGTGGTACTTCTTGATCGTCGTGCGTCGACGCATCGTCATATCGTCGCAGTTGGTTCTTTGCGCGCGGCTGCCTCCTGACCCTCCCAGAAACTCTTGCCGAACGTCTGCGCAACAATGAGTGGGAAGACGATGGTGGCATCGGCGTAGATCTATGCGTGACAGCATATCATGTGAGCGCTGGAAGCTGATGTGCATCTTTGACGAAGCTCTCCTTACCTTGACGCTCTCGCCACCGATGCGAATCTTGCCCCAACTGACGGCCTCATCTGGTCGCGCCCCACTGTCACTCCCGTCGAATTCTTGACCGGTGTTGATGTACACTGCATAGTCTGCCCCATTGCGCTGTACGTGCGGAAAGAAGGGACGGGACAGTATGAGCTGAGGCCTCGATGCACCGGCCAGCTGCTACTCTGCGGGTCCACTCACGAATAGCATGGCGTTTGCGATCTGATGCTTGCAGACTCCACCGCCCAGAATGATCATGCCGGCTTTCTTGGCCTTGACGCTCAAGTCGTTGAGCCTGCGAATGTCACCGACCAGATCGACGACCAAGCCTGGATTCTTGTAAGAGTGGAAATAGAGCATATCACCCAAGCTGCCGTCCGTCAGGGCAGGACAAAAGACGGGAATGCCGTTCTGCAAGGATGACGCAGAGCAGCGAGTTAGCCTGCCTGGTGCTGATGTCACAGAAACTTTGGCATTGCACTCACCCTTGCGGCCCAGTACAGAATACTGCGCTCATCGTCGATCTCCCTGCCCATCCTTTCGATGATGCGGCTTGGGGTCCACACGTTGGTCAAATCATCGCCCTGCTCCTCCCTCAACTTGTCAAGAATGGGCATCACCCAATCCTCAAACTTGCAGTAATTGTCGTTTGGCACGAGCAAATTGCCGATGCGGTTGAGCCCTTTTCTTCTCAGCTCTGCGCCGTCGAGACTAAAGTCGCCCAGATAGGTGGGGCCGAGACACTTGATGAGATCCTCTTCGATGCCACCTGCAGTGGTGACCAGGGCAGACACGAGCTTGTGCTTGACGAGGAAGAGGATGACCTCTCGCAGGCCAGACGAGACGAGGTTGGAGGTGAAGCCGAGGAAGATGCTGCAAGCCGTGCGCTGCCTAATGCCGGGGTCCAGCAAGTCGTCGGGCGTGTCGTCGGTGACAGGCTCATCGCTCAGCCGCCATGTGCGCTGCAGAAAAAGCATAGCAATGACTCGCTCTCAGTCTCGCACCTCTCTTCTGCCGCTCTGGTTCGCACGCAGCACCACTCACCATCTTGTCTATGAGGTTGCAGGCTTTGGCGATGGCAGAAGCTTGGAAGCCGACGCTGCCGTATGCCGTCATCAAGCTCTCCAAAGATTGGCGCTGATCAAAGTCTGGTCCGCGCACTTGCTCAAAGTGCGATGGAACAGGCGCCGACTTGACAAACACTGCCGCTTGCGCCGAGCTCGACGCTTCCGCTGTCGGCGCGCTGTTGCTATCGGACGCCATCGCAGCTCGAGGAGGCTGCGAGGTCCCTTGTTAGCCTGTTCCACACAACGATGGCGCTGGGCCGCACAAACACCTGTGGTGATCGGTGAGCCAGTTGCGAGCCTGCCCTGGACACTGCGTGGAGAGGTGATCGCTTGAGCCGCGGCAAGAATGAGCGTGGCAGTGGGTAGACGTGCGAGAGGGAAGCGAGCAAGGTAGCGCCGAGAGCGACGGCACGCTGGCTGGGTGGTGGAGATGAACATAAGAGGTATCGAGCGTCGCCAGCGGTCCAGCACCTCACGCACACGACGCTTGCACTTACTTTCTCCACACGAGTCGGCTCAGAGCCAAAAATCAAGAATGTCGTGCGTCAAAAGTGTGCATGGAGCCGCTGTGCAGCAGCAGGGCTCAGAATTTTGATTCTTCGCACCGGCGGGGCTACCAAGCGGGAAAAACTTCGAGACGTGATTGCTCACGTGACCGGTCGTCCTGACCGCCCAAGAAGCCCGAACCGTCCTTCAAGATTTCCGTGCTTGATCCGTGTCTCGATACACATTCACAATTGATTCCAGCGTGAATCTGATCTCTCTCCAAAACAGATCTCTTGCCTGCGATCTCGGTGCACCAAGGACATCAGATTGCAGCATCCAGACTCGTCGCTCTGAGCACTTGAAACTTGGCTGCATTGTCCGATCGGGGTGCCCAGTCTGGCTCACGCGGGGCGGTTCCTAGGCGGAGTCGACTCTCGAACCGAAACACATTCACCGCATACAGTCACAAAGGACTGACATCTCCTCCGTCAAGAGCTGAAAGGATGAATTGCGGGACCGGCAGCTAGGATCAGACAAGAATGGTGGGCGCTTAAAAGTCCATCGTGTCCAGAGCTGGAGTCGAGAGACATTGAGGTGCGAGCGCGAGTCAGCCTACAACTGTCCAAAAGCCACAACTGTGCTACTTTGTACCACTCACCCTGGCCCCTCTTTGCTTCTCTCGTCTGACGTACGATGGCACTGCAGTGCCTTTCGAATCGTTGCACGAATGGCTTGAGTCGAGTGTGCTCCCACGCCGTCGGATTGTCCTTGAGCGCTGCGCCGTCGTCCACCTCTCCTGCCTTTTGCGCTGCGTTTAGGTCTCGGAAGAGCTCGCCGATCGTGGGCGCGTCCGAGTCCGGATCGAATTGATGAATTTGTCTCGGGTCCAGCGGTACACAGACCCTGCCGGTCGCGGGATGCACGACGAAAGGCGCTTTGAGCAAGTGATTCATGTGCTTGGATACCTCGGCATCGATGCGAGGGTAGGTGTATTGCAAGATGATGTCCTCCATGGCCGGTCTCCACGTCGTGCGCGCTCTCATCTCGCCAGCCTTGGCAGCGATGGTCATAATGTCTTGCCACTTGTCCAAAGAGCTGCGAGCGGGTTGTGCATCCCAATTCGACTTGAGCCGCGCAATCGCTTCCGTCTCGACCGAGGGAAGCAAGGCCAGCAAGCGATTGTAGCCCGTCGCGTCTCGGAACACGTCTTGATCCTTGAGTACGATATCGACGAATGCGCGCTTCAGAGGACCGTCGGATGCACCATCGACGGCATCCACGCTGCCGTCCAAGGCCCGTCTGAGGGAAGGGTGCAGCTGCCTGGCACTAGTCGAGCTACCTGCCAAATTGACCTTCTTGACAGCGCTTGCACCACCCTTGATGACTTCCAACCAGCCAACAATGGCTTTGCGAGCATCGTCTGGCAGAGTGCACGCTTCCTCGTCCGATATCCAGCAGTGGATACCTCGCCTACCAGAGTAGACCCACAGCAGATGCTTGAAGCCAAAGTCCAAACGCAGCGCTTGGTCCAGCACCTCGACGGCTACGGCGATGAAGCCCCAGCACCTCTTGCAGATGCCCTTGCCGCTGCAGCAAGTGCGAATCTCGTCGTAGTCGGTCATGTCGATATCGAACACCACTTCTCGAGACACGGGTTTGAACGACGTCTTTTGCACCGTCTTGCGATCCTTTGGCTAGCGGTTCGAGGCGTGGGCAGGTGTCAGCCGCGCATTCGAGCCGAGTCTCGAGGGGCGAGCACACGTCACTCCTCACCTTTGCGCTGTACACTGGACCAATCTCGAATCTTTGCGGATTCAATCTGAGCACGTCTCGCTTCAACTCTTGCCACGTAGCGTAGGAATTGTAGCGCAGATAGGCCTCATTTGCCAGTGTGAAGGCGAATTCTCGATGAGTAAAGTTGCGAGACGCGCCAGGAGAGGAGGTGGAGGCCATGTTAGCACCCTCTACATCCCTGTTGAGCCAGAGAAAGATGTTCTTCCAAGGCAGCAAATGGCGATAGTAGGACAGCAACACCATCGGATCCGAAGTGTCCAACGCTTGCAGCCTGTCGTGCGCGTCAGCGTCAGCAACGTCATCGACGCAGCTCGAGCAGGGTCAGCAAAGCTCTGAGCGCTGCACCAGCATCGTTGCGCAACTCCAACCTCACCGTGCCTCCTCTACGCCCGCCATGGCCTTGTCCAGCTCAAAGTCATCATCCTCATCCACATCCATATCGGGGGGAGGCGGCCGGGCAGGGGGCAAGTCGGTCGAGCGCACAGCAGTCGGCATGTTCGAAGCTGATGTGGTGTGAGTCGATGCTTGATGTTGACGAGACGGATGACAGCGGTGAGCCTCTTGGATGCCAAGTGAAGGTGGTGGAGCGGGGCGACGTGCTTTGTGTCGTCAAGCCATAGCGCTCGGTTCGAAGCGCGAGTCTAGAGTCTTGAGTCCAAAGTGTCACTTTACGCGGAACGCGTATCCCCGCGCTTCACGCGTTTGGTTCGAGCGCATGGCACGTGATGCAACGACGGCGCCGCGAGAAAGCCTTTTCTCGCCCTCATCGGCTGGTTCAGCTACGCGACGCGTCTCCCCTCCATCACCTCGCGCATGGCGAATGCGCGCGTGCGAGCGCAGCTAAGCCCACGCCAACACAGCAACACCATTTACACCATCTACATCGCACACGTCTCACATCGCCTCGAGGTCACGAGCTAGCGCCTAGCTGAGCCGCACCGTCGCCCGTACATCCCTCTCTCCCTCTTCCGCGCGTCTCATCGAAGCTATCGGGCGCTCTTTACACTTCGTAGCGAACACGCAGCCAATCGACGAGTTCCGGTGGGGTACGGAGCATGCCATCATGTCGCAGGAGGATCCGTCAGCACCAGCGCTGACCGCAACGCTGCTAACCAATCTGGTATCGGCAGTCATTCCATCCACCCGCAAGAGTCGCGGTGTTGAAGAGAGTCTGGAGACTGCAGAAGGCAGGAGAAAGCTCAGGGTCGAGTGCGTGGCTCTCGCAGAGGAAATCTTCAACAGGTGCGTGCTTCTGCAAGGATTAGACGCGGGCGGAGCACTCAGCGTGGTGCAGCACTTCGAGAAAGGGTGCTAGCTACCTCAGCACAGGAAATCCCGAGCTGAAGGAGGCCCCGCACCTGCTGTTCATTTGCATTCACAGCGACCTCAATCAGCCATCGTCATCGAGCGAGAGAGAAGTTATCGCGCGCCTCAAGCGCAAGTGTGAGTCATTCACAGCATGAGCGCGTACATGCGATCACACTGATCAGAAAGAATCCTGTGCACGCTACCTGTCGCACTCAGTGACCAGCTATGCGGTGGATGGTGGCCATGGCAGCGGCGTCAAGTTGCAAAACCTCGTTCAAGAATTGCGCGCCTTGCCGAATCAGGGAAAGCACGCTGCGCTGCTAGAGCTGCTCGATCGTTTGGCATTCTCAAACCTTCCAAGCAGTAGCGCGAGTGCAGCCAGCGAGGGTCGCTCCGACACCCGCTCCGAAGCTTCTCGTCGGCCCACCGACAGGCCATCTTCTGCAGCTACAGGTGCCTCGCGCCCTTCAGTTGCAACACGACCAGTCTCGGGCGCGACTCGCAACGTGTCTTCTGCTACGACGGCCACAACTGCAAGCCGCGCCACACTCTCCAGCAGGCCTGCGCCAGGCGGTCCGGGCACAACAGGACCATCCAGCAATAGGCCCAGCTCGACCGTCACTGGCAGCCGCGAGGCGACACCTCAAGCAAGACCAAGAGCAGACGTCCGGTCAGCAGAACGCAACAATGCTGTCGCAGCAAAGGCACCAGCAGCTCGAGAGCAAGGGCCTGCTGCGTTGCCAGCACACGACTCTCGCTTCGCGGCCGTTCCGAACGCCCCGCAACAACCTCCCGCCACTCACACGCCATGCTCGCGGGCAGAACTCGTGCGGCGATGCCACGCCAAGTTCGGAAAAGAAGAAGTCCCAGAGACGGACCTGATCAAGGATGTCGTGTACTTGCTGCAAGGCATAAACGGAACGTATGTTGGCTTCGAAGAGGTCCTCTCACCTGCCAGCAACGAGATTGGAGCGGAAAGGCAAGCGGAAAAGGAATTGAGAATGAAATGGGCTGACGACAAGGTGAGTGTATGAGTAGCCTTGGTCTTTGTGGGTTCAGCTAGAGGCTGGAAGGCTGAGTGTGGTCCGTCGAATGCAGGGTCGCATCTCGCCGCAGACAAAGCACTTGATTCACCGCATTGCAGAAGTGGGCAGGCTCTACCGACGTATGGCGGAATTTGTAAAAGACCACAACGAGGCAGATGTGTCGGGACTGATCGAGCAAGTAAGCACACACTATCAGAAGCAGCTGTGCCGCATCATTGCTGACTCGTCTGGCGATTCGCAACGCGCACTCCCATAGAGTCTCTGTCACTTCATCAACGAAGAAATGACCGAGTATCTTCGACTCCTTGCGATTCTCGAGGCACACATGCACCGCAGCCTTCAGTCGAGTGCCCTTGCGAACATGGACAGAGGGCGTTCACCAAACGACGTCGATGCTTTGGAGGAGAGCTCCAAGGGTACCACGACGCTGACGCTGCGCAGAATTTGGCTCTGGACCGAAGATGTGGTGCTGAAAATGCGGCTGTTGAGTACAGTCATCGCTAGCACTGCGGGTGAGCATGCGAGGAAGATACGTCTCGCTATAGCGTATTCACTGATCGCTTGCACTTGCTCGCCACTGCAGGCGCCCATGGTGGACAGCTGGTGTCGCGAATCCATTCCTATACCTTCAATGGTGATCCCTTCATTCGCAGCTATACCGCGCGACTGCTCGAAGAGGTGAGCCTTTGCCCTGCTTTTGGTCAGTCTCTGGTGTTCCGATTGCTCAGCAAAGCACGCTCCTCTCAGGTCTCTCGACCATTCTTCTACTCTTTGTCGCGCTGGATCTACGAAGGAGAGCTGCATGACCCATTCGGGGAATTCTTTGTTGAGCTCAACGAGAGTTCGGCACTGCAAGGTGCCGAGGCGCTCGATGTGGACGCCTTTTCGCTGTGGCAAAGCAAATTCAGGATTCGAACAGAGATGCTGCCGAGCTTTTTGAAGGAAAGCTTTGCACAGATGGTGAGCAAGTGCTAAAGAGGTGGATGCGGGTGCCCACGCTTACGCAGTCATCGCCGCAGATCTTTTCCACTGGTAGAAGTCTCAACTTCATTCGGTATAGCTGTGGGGACATAGATTGGGCATCGACAAAAGATACGATCGGGAGCACAAGTGCTGGTTCGTACGCGTGGGGATTATGTCGATGAATGGCGTGCTGACTCGCCATTTCACGCAGTAGATCTTCGATATACCGACTTGTCTGGCTTGGAGAGTACAATCAACAGCGCATACAGTACTGCCAGTCAGCACCTGCTCGACATTTTGCTGGAGAAATTCAGGCTTCTAGACCACCTTCGTGCACTCAAAGACTACCTGATGTTGGGACGAGGAGATTTTGTCGATCATTTGCTGGAGGCTGTGGCGTGAGTGCGATGTGCCCCATCACCTCGGGCTTTTTGCGCTGACAGCATCGATCCCATGCCTCTAGGCCATATCTGGACAAGCCCGCCTCGTCGCTCTACCGACATAACCTCACCGCATCGCTCGAGACCGCGATTCGCAATTCCAATGCCCAATACGATGATCCCGACATCGTAGCTCGGCTGGACGCTCGCATTCTGGAATATTCATCGGGTGACACCGGTTGGGATACATTTCAGCTAGAGTACAAGTGTGAATCTCCCGTCAATGCGGTGCTCGATACCGAAGCGATGATCGGATATCAGACCGTATTCGCACACCTCTGGAAGCTGAGAAGGACAGAGAGTGCCGTGGGTAGCGCATGGGCAAAGCTGATGGCTGCGTCCAGAATGCTGCCGCGAGGAGCGAGGGCTTCCGGCGGGTTGCAACGTGAGTGGCGCTCCTTTCCGCGAGGTGATAAGAGTGCTATCGCGAGCTAATATCAATCTCGATTTCGCAGGCCTGCTAGCAAAGCTACGCTCCGCTTTGCTAGGACTCTCCGAGATGATCCACTTTGTCCGTCAGGTGCAAGGTTTCTGTCAGCTGGAAGTGATCGACTACTCGTGGCAAGACTTGATGGACTTTTTCGCCACGAGGAAGGGCGATTTGGATGAGCTGATATTGGAGCACCGAAGGTACTTGAATGCACTAAAGAGCAAAGCTCTCTTGCTGAGTCAGGGCAAGCGTGGTGGGGTGAGTCGCCGACGCGGTTCGATTTTCATCCATTGTGGCGCGGCAGCTGACGTGGAGAAAGCCTGCCGTCCCAAGGATGCTCTGGCAAAGGAGACCAAAGCGCAATTGGACACGATACTCGCGGGTGCAGCTGCGTGCAATGACTTGGCGACTTGGGCGACGGACGAATTGGCTCGAGCAGAGCTGTCCCGTGTGAGTTGCGATGTCTTGGAATGCAGCGGCAGATCGCAACTGACGCTGGGTCTCTCATGACTTTGCTATGCAGCCTCTCGGGCCATCATCCCGTCGCCGTCCCGTCACGCCGGTTGCGCGTGCGCCGCAGGGTCGTAGCGAGGAGAACATGGACCGCATCATTGTGCGATTTCAGTCACATATGGAAGAGTTCCGCGGCAGGAACGGGACGATCATCGTTGCTTTGAGCAAGCACTCCAACCTCGTCTTTAGAGGATTGGCCACGAGACTGGGCTACGATGCGAAGAATCCGGCAACTGATTCGGAGAGCAGAACGAGACGCAATAGCGGAGCGACGGTCGGCACGCATCGAGATCGATGATGATGGATGAGGCAGCTCGTCGAATGCGTTCATCGAAAAGAATCCAAAGCTGGCTCAGGGTCGTCGGCATCATCATCTACACCTTTGGTCAACCTTAGCGCCAGGTTTGTACAAGTACAGAGAACATAATGTGGGGCAAATGTGACGCTTTTGCGAGCATCTCGCGATTGACATCGACGCAAAAAGCCTGTCGGCATAGCTTGACTGTGACTGATAGAGTAGAATTGTTTGCTGACCGTGCCAGAGCAGACTTGGACGAGAGCACACTTGCGGCGCGCCGCAAACAGCTTGCGCACGCATTCCATGCATTGAAAGTGAGAGCGACGGAAATGTTCACCGACGCAGCATGACATTCCGACTCGCGCTTCTCCCCGCCACTCTCCTCTTCTTCCTTCCGAACCTCTTGTCCTCCTCCAATCCCTCCACACCCACGCCCTGCTCCTTGCCCGCACCCCTGCTAAGTCCCGCTCCAAACGATTCCCCAGCGCCATTCTTGCCCGCTCGGCCTTTCTTGCCATTCTTGCTGCTGCCCCTAGACGAGTCGCCCTCGGCGCGCTTGGAAGAGGGAAGAAAGGAAATCTCTTTGGAACCTGCTTGGAGCGTCTCTTCTTCGTCGCGCTGGCCCGAAGCTGCACCTCGCTTCAATTGCTGCGAGAAGCTGCGGCTGCCTTTGGATCTATCTCCCAATGCTGAAGGTGCGCGTCCCCTTCCATAAGAGTCGTCTTCGTCCTCTATCAGCCGCGTGCCTGCTCCGCGCGCTTGCGCCGTCTGGCCCTGTTTGCCGCCTAGACGCTTGCGTGGGTCGATGCCGGCGAGTGCTGCGACGGTTGCACGAAGAGGATGAGCCCATCAACATGCTGCGCCTTGCACCTTCGCCGAGGCTGCACACTCACCTCCCTCGTCCTCGCTGTCACTCTGCTGCGAATCACCGGCGTCGCTCCTGTCACCCTCATCGTCAGGATCCAAGCTCTCCCTCTCGCTCCACCCATCCTCGTCCTCCAGTTCCGCAGCCGTCTTTGCATACGGCCTATCCCTGCCCTCCCTCTCCTGTCGTTCCGAGTCCTGCGCATTGATGTCCACGCCTGCTTCACCAGAAGGATTGAGCAACCTCCACTCCCTCGTGTTCTTGTCAACCTCGAAAGCTGGATCGCTGAACATTTCCTTGAATCTGTCGTCCCGCAGCAGATTCTTGCCAGCATCCATCTTCTCCGCCCTCCTCGATGCCTTGGCATTGACCTTTGGCTCCTGCGGTTCGCCATCCGCTCCATCTTCTGCATTTTCTCGATCGCCCTCGGCTTGCGTTGCGGCCGCCCTGCTAGCCCTCTCCTCGCTCCTCTGAATCTTGAGCGCCAGCTCCCTGTTGACTCGAATACCTTCCAACTCCTTCTTTGCGCTTCGCAACCTCTCCTCGTCCCGCAATGTAGGCCTGATGCGGCTCTTCGACGCCTTTTCGATGTTCTCGCGAATAGCCCTCTCTCGCGCATCAGAATAGGCAGTGGGATTGGCCAGCAGCCTAGCCTTTTCGTACAGACGCAAATGCACAAAGTAACCGTGCATGTAGGGGCGCAAAAGGTCTGTGCCGAGCATGTGCTCCATATTGAGTCTATGAGAGAACAGCGCAGGGCATCGAGTCACGTCTATAAGCTCGCAGGATGAATCACCGATACTTGAGCCTCTACAATTACTCACAATCTCAGCTCCTCCTTGTCCACAAATTTGAAATCATCATAGACGCCCGGCTTATTCTCTTTGCCCAGAGTGGCCACATCGCCGTCCATCTCGTCGGTGAGGCTGTCCAGGAAGCTGCACCAAGCAGGAGCGGGGCCGAGGGTAGGCACATACCAAGCCGCGCATCGTGTGGCTTCCATCGCAGCGACGAGCATGCCAGTGCCAGGGATGTGATGAACTTGATTGAAATCGCCAGACGCTGTGGATGAGGGAATGGATGCCAGATTGGTCGTCGAAGAGGTGGAAGGCTGAGCCGCTGCATCGTCTTGCTCGGAGCGGGACCAGATCTTGATGACCTTTGAGTCGGCTGACAAGACGCAATCTTTGGCTTCTGAACGAGGATGATGAGAGTTGCTGGGCGCATCACCGCTCAGCAAGCGAGGCGCGTCGCCGCACCAGCTCAGGCTATTGATGGGCAGACCGAATCCTTGATCCTTCTCCTTGTACGCTCGATTTGACATTCTGTAGTCGTAGAGCTGCACGTGACCTGTAGTGGTGCCCACTGCCAGATTGAGACCGTCTTGCGCAGATCGTAGACAAGTTGCAGAGAGGAGGGATGTGATGGTCTTGTCGCTGCTGACGGAATCGCCATCGCCGACTGAGGAGATGCCAGGCAGGGCATTTCGGGCAGATAGCAGAGCAGCTTGCCTTGTAGATCTAGTGGCAATGGAGATGCTGCCGACTCTATTGCGACTCCTAGCATCCCACAGTTGAACGCAAGCGTCGCCTTCGGTTGCCAACGACATGAGGCCGTGCGCAGGATTGACGTCCAGCGCATTGCAGCCTGTTATGCGACCTGCTGACCCAGCCTGATCCAACTCGAAGGGGGCGAGGAACCTGCCTTGATCCAGATTGAGCCTGTACACCTCCGCACCCGCTGCTCCGACATAGGCGACTGCAGAATTGTAGTGATATGCCAGCGCTCTGCCAAACTTGGGGATGCGTATCCGCGTGTGGAAACCTCCTCGGGCGTGCAGCTCCAGCGTGCGGTCGGTCTGCAGCAAAAGCATCTTTGTCCAATCGTCCGACAAGAGCTGGCAGGGAGGCAAGGTCAGCTTCATACACTGACCGCTCCACGAAGCACATCCCGCCACTCACCTCAAAGTCGACATTTTCAGCTTCGGTGACGCGTTGGAACTTCAAGCTGAGCTGCTCATTGTCCCACGTGCGAATGCTGGGTTTGTAAGTGCCGGTGGCGACAATATGATTGCCATCGCGCGTGCTAGCGATCCTATTGGAAGCTTCGGGGAATTCGAAATCCTGAATCAATTCGATCTTGTTGAGCTCCTCTGCTCGAGCGATGGATCGTGCGCGCGCAGATGCGTTTTTGCGCGAGAGGCGCTTGTTGGAGGAGCCGTGAGGACGCAGCAGGTCGGGCAGCGAGGTGGAGCGCGTGGATGATTCGCCTGCCCCTCCTCCCCCTCCGCTGACCGTGTACACTCTGGATGGGGTGGGCACCGGCATGGCGAGCAGAGCAGCAGAGCACAGCGTTGGTGTGAATGAGGTTGAAGGAGAAGCAGGGCAAGCGCAAGCGCGCGGCGCGAGTAGAAGAAGTCGAGCACGAGCATCAACAACCAAGCAAAGCGCTCGCGGCTGCCTGATGCTTGCTGCACAGGAAAAATTGCACCGCCCGCCTGTCCGAGTTGTTGAGCAGTGAGTGGGACGCGTAGGCGGGCAAGAGCATCCATCAATCATGCACGCGCGCTCACTCGCTTGCTTCATCCAGTCGAGAAGTTCACGCATGCGCACGCAATATGCCTGCTCATGCGACTTCGCCTGCCTGCCTGCCTGCCCATCTCCACACTCAAGACTTCCACCGCATCGCCCTTGCGCCTCCAGTCGCACCCACCGCCGCTCTCTCAGCTCCTCCAAGCGTACCATTGCGCTTCTTTTGTACACCCTGACCTGACGTCACTGTATCAGAACGTCGATCTTGCCTGGCTAACAGAAGCACGCACCGGAAGAAGACATCGTCCTCTGCACCGCCTCACCGTTTCGCATCGGCTCGCACTTGCGCACTTTCTCTTCATATAGCTTCCGTGAAGATGGCATCAGCAGCAGGAGCAGGCGCTTCTTCGCGCTTCGGCGCATTCATGAACCATCCCGCTGGCCCAAAGACTGGTGAGTTTGCCTGGAGGGGCGGATGTGAGGCATTCAGCAGGCTGGGGGGGGGGCCGAAGTTGATGGAGCAGCGTCGGCACGCCCGAGGGACGCATTCGGAAGCTGGGGATTGCACTTGCCATACTCTATGGAGGCGCATCAGTAGACCATGGCGTGCTTGTAAGGGGATGCATACAGCCGGCGTAGTCATGAGTCGATGGGTGTATGCGCGCATCAGGGTGCCCATCGCGGCCCCACACCCGCACCCTCGCTCCCACCGCTCTGCTCACTCTTGCCCTTCTCCTCTCCGCAGTCTTTTTTTGGGCACCGATCATGAAATGGGGATTGGTGATTGCAGGATTGAAAGATCTGAACCGTCCAGCGGATAAGCTGTCCCTGTTCCAGAATGCAGCCTTGGCAGCCACGGGCATGATCTGGGTGCGATACTCCCTCGTCATCACACCCGTCAACTACTCTTTGGCCGCCGTCAACTTTTTTGTGGGGACGACGGGCATTGCGCAGCTATACAGGATCTGGGAGTGAGTTGCGAGCGGCGCGGCGCGGCGCGGCACGGTCGTTGCTGTGCTGCTGCTGCGTGACAGCAAGGCATCCTTCTCTGCAATGCCACCATGACTGACCTTGAATGCTCGATTCGCGCTTCACCACAGCTATCGACGCACACAAGGTCAGCCGGCTTCTATTTTGGACGCAGCCAAGGATCTGCAACAGGATGCCAAGTCCAAATTGGAGCAAACTCGCAAGTTGTAGGTATGCATGCTTGGACGGTGGCCGCTCAAGCCCGATGCAGATCCATCAACATCTTCTCTTCGACTTGGACTCTGCCCCATCACGTATCATACATGCCTTTCACGCAATCGATCTCGTCGCTCGATGACAACGTGACTTCTCACGTCTTCAACCCATCACATGCGCAGAGCATCAAAGCGACAGGTCCCGACGATGAACAAATAGCTCTGGACCAAAGCACAAGCTGTCCGAGCAATCAATTGCGTCCCTGCGCTGGAGAGTATGTGTGAATGTGTATTGATTGGTATGTACAAGGGCTGCGAGCCTGGTGCAGAACTGCCCAGACTGGCGATGGTGAAGTGCAAGAGGCCTCGAATGAGTATGGAAAGATGAGAAGATGAATGGCAAGGCACGCGCAGCGCAGCGCAGCGTAGTGTGGGCGCGCGAGAGATGAGTGCAGAAGATCGAGCAGCGATGGCGTGGGATGTGGAGATGCTGTGTGCTGTGCGTGGCACAAATCCAGAATGCAAGCGTCCATTAAAGAAGCGGCGGGAACCCTTTGGTTTGAAACTCTTGAATCGACGAAAAGGTGTTTCATGGACGCTCAGATGAGCATGGCGAGCAGCTTGAACAGGGGCATAGGTCCATTGTTCCTCCTGGCAGCGCTAGTCTGACCAGCATTCAGCGCCGAATTGCTGCCCGTCACGCCCAGGTCGTTGCCTGCGCTGGTGATGGAGGCGGTGAGGGCGCTTCCGCTGATAGAGGCAGTGTCTGCGCCGTTTGACCAGGCAGAAGGGCTGGGCAGCACGGAGAAGGAGGACGAAGTGGGGCTCTGTTGTTGTTGTTGTTGTTGCTGCTGTTGTTGTTGCCCTTGTTGCTGCTGTTGCTGCTGTTGTTGGCCTTGTCCATCATTGTTGGCAGGAGAAGGCGAAGAAGCAGCGGTTTGGCCATTGGACGTCTGTTGTGCACCTCCAGCATTGTTGTTGTTGTGGTTGTTGCTGGACGGGGAAGGCTTGTCTGCTCCCTTGTTGTCATCGTCGTTGGAATCATCGGAATAGCCAGAGTTTCCGCTGGAATCTCCTCCCTTGTTGTACGCATCGTGGTAGTTGCCCCAGCTCAAGTCTCCCGCCACATCCTCCGATATGTCCGTCTCGGCGCTGCAAAATCGTCGGACAAATTGTCAGTATATGGCAAGTGTGAAATGGGGAAAAATGGATGTTGCTACTCACCCGACCAGATCCTTGTAAACGCAAAAGCCTTGACCGACGGTGGGTTTGACAGCCTTGAGCGAGTTGGAGCTCACCGTACCCTTGTCCTTGGCCGAAGCGGAGCACTGATCGTTCCATGCTGCTCTAGCGCTGCCAATGTCCGGATAACCATATCGGCCAATGGTGTACACCACCTTGACACCGTCGCTCGCAGCAGAGACGCTGGAGCAGCAAAGAGCGCCGAGCACGGCTGCGGAGAACAAGAGGCTGGAGGTGGAAGAGCGCATCTTGTTTGAGTGTGTGTGTGCGGGTCGAGCAAGCTAGTGCGTGGGATGAGAGAGGGATGTGGCTGAGAGGGAAAGAGTGGGACAGAGAAGCAGGTCGACAGGCGAGCTAGTGTGGGTAATGAACGTCGATGTTGGAGTGCAATGAGTGTGTGTAAAAGTGAAGGGGGGTGGGGAGCCAGCCAGCGAGCAGGGGTGGATTGCTGTGCTCAACACTGTTAGGATGGAGAGAATGTCGAAGTGCGATGTCGACGGAGCGTAGAGTTGATGATGGTTCGAAGAGATCAAAGCGCGAGCGGATCCAATGGGCGTTCGTTGCAAGCACAAACAGTCAGTCCAGTCCATCAGCGAGCGAACCCTTGCCGGTCTGCACGCAATGGCAAGCTCTAGTCAAATGAAGACTCATATCGCATGCCCCCCTCCTCCTCCTCCTGCGTCACTGAAAGGGCGCTAACATTGACACAAACACCAGCATACATACATTCGATGCAACCGTGCTGCTCCATTCACGATTCCACCAATCCGAGGCATGAGCCGTTGGCTTTCCCCACACAATACCATCTGCAGACGCATTTTGGCAGCATCAGTCGCGAGGCTGCGAGCAAGGCTTTCGAGGCGATAGGAGAGATGCCGCATGGCCTCCTTAATTGTTCAGGAGGGGGGGGGGGGGGGGGGGGGGGGGGCAGCAGCTGTAGCAGGAGATGCTCAAATTAGATACTCGTGACTGCTTGCGTGTGCGTGGCATGCAGCGGTACTGTGAGCTACGCACGACTTGCTCGACGGACGACTGCTTGGGGGGAGGGGGGAGGCGCACAAAGGCCGACAACAAGTCGATGGACATGTTCAGGGGGATGGCGCAGATCTCCCAATGAACCATGTATGCAGCATGCGTGCGTGCGTGCGTGCATGCACACCGTGCGCGGCGAGCGCACTGCAGATCCCCAAGGACAGCAGCGCGTAGGTTGATGCAGCCCGCAACCAACGCGACGCGGAACGGCGGGGTTGCGCTGTATGGCAGCAAGAATGAGGAGTGCATGCTGCTGTGCACGCAAGAGTCGGTGCTTACTGTCAGCGGCAGTCACAGCGCCATGGCGACTTGCGTGCATGCTTGGACTGCGCTCTCTCTAGCTTGGCTCCCCCTCCTTCCTCCTCCCCCTCTGCCCTGCTGCATGCTCTGTATCCTGATCTCCTTTTTCTGCTTCCGCGCCCTACGGTATGCGGGCGTCGCGGCGGACCGCATACCCAATACGCAGCATACACACGACCCTTCAAGACGCCGCGCTGCGCTCCTGCTCGAGCGCCCACGATGCCGAGCAGAAGGCAAGAGTCGGAGCTTCGTGCTCGGTGGTTGAGGTATAGCGTGTCGATCGAAGCAGCTAAAATACCTTCCAAGCCACAACTGTGCATCTCCGAAGCGCGCTAAAGGGGAAATCCTTGTCGAGCCGGCCGTTGGGCAAGAGGCGCCTCCATCCAAACATTCGAGGCTATTCTGCGCGCCTGCGCTCACAGCTTTACTCACGACTCCCAATCGTGAATTTCGCGCGCAGGAGAGATCTGAACGCAGTCATGAGTCACCGCCGCCTGCGAGAGGACACGAACACGCACCGCCCTGCTCATCGCTACCTAATCACCCCCACCTTTCCTTCTCTTTGCACTTTCCAGCTCCCCACGTCATCACCACCAAAGCCCATCTCGAGGGCAGAATGCTAGTGCCGCCGCCCAATTTCGGATTGGTGGAGGACAGCCTCTACAGATCAGGTGCGCCAGATCTGCTCAATTTCCCATTCCTAGAGACGCTCAGCCTAAAGAGCGTCATTTGGCTGGCTCCCGAAGAGCCGGATGGTACCTTGTGAGTAGTATGAGGTGGCACTACGTCGATGTTACGCATCCGGGGCTCTGCTCAGCTCGAAGCGATGCCCCC